GTATGTATGTATGTATGTATGTATGTATGTATGTATGTATGTATGTACAGTGCATGTTTAAAACTGAATTAACAAAACTTTGAAGATATTCAAAATCCCTGCAGATATCTCAGGACATTTTTGAGACTTCCTAAAAAATTCAGGGCCAGGAGATTAAAATTTTGATTGACAGGATGCTGTCATGACCAAAGAAGGATATTCTAGAGAAATAACTAAACTTTTACAGCTCCTCGTGGGGCATACCAAGGTCTTCCCAGGCCAAAGAAGACACATAATAATCCCTCCTGCAAGTTCTGGGTCTGCACCCCAGGGATCTTCTCCCCCGCTCCAGTGAAGCCAGGCAACCAAAAAACCCTAGTGACCATCAGGAGGGAGAGAAGTGTATTTAATCTGCATGTGAGTTGCTGCAGAAACAGAAGGATTTCATGCAGTTAAAACTCTGAACTCCACACTCTAAAATTATGACTTTAAATAATAATAATAATAATAACAATAATATGAATATATAAAAAAACTTTAAGGATGTGAAAAGTTCTCTTAACTTGTTAAATTATTTAATTTATTTATTTACTTTGTGTTTTTATACAATTGATTGTCTGAAGTTAAGTTAGTAACAAACAGACTTGTTAGTTTAAACTCCTACTTCTTTTTAGCTTTTTGTTTTAATAATTTTGTTACTTGTTTCTGTTTCCTTCATTTCTTTACTCTCTTTTAAAACATTTTATTTAAGTAATTACATGTTTTAGTATTTGGACATCATTTCTTGATTTGTTAATCCAATCATCTTGTTTGCCATAAAATGTCTAGAAATATTTATCCACAAGTCCTTTATTAACTTATTTGTATGTTCATTAGCTCTTAAAACGTGAAGTAAAGTTGAAGTTTCTTTCATGTTAAATTTAGTCATTAACTAACCTAAGAGCTCTAAGAGTAACAAACACAAACTGAGAGCCAGACCTCTGGAGCTTCCTCCTCAGCTCAGACTGATGCCAGATAACAGCTGAGAAAAACAAATAAAATCTACATTCACTGGTTTTTGTTGTCAGTGGAAAATATAAACTGTGGGATTAATGCATTTGTGGGTTGGCTGCTTCAGTTTTCATGTATCTATCATGCCAAAGCAAACATGTAATAGTTTGGTTTTAAATGAAAAATGAGCAAACAGAGCGTAAGCGTCACGTGTGGGGCTTAATCTCAACTACAAACACTAAACATCGAGGACAAAATAAAACTCTACAAACCAGTGAGATCAATGGGGATGATGGATAAAGAATAACTTCAGAGACGTCGGCGAACATGAAGCACGCTTCACGGCCAGAAGCAGCAAATGTTCACAACGAGATGGACAGTGACAACAACACGTCAAACTCCCCAACGAAGCTGTGAAAGCACACATGGTGTGTGAACAGTAACAAGGGACGACAGCAGTCAGCTCCGTGTAATGTCACCACTGACCTTTTTACCATCGTCATCTTCGTCATCATCCTCCTCCTCACTCTCAGCCTCCATCTCTGTTCAAAGTAAAGAAGTCTTAATTACTACTTAACTACTGTAATTTCTGGACTATTGAGTGCACCTGAATATAAGCTGCACTCCACTAAATAAAAATAAAATAAAACATTTTCTACATATATAGGCCACGCTTGTCTATACATCACGGGTGTCCTCGTAACATGAGATATTAACACAGAAAGATTTTTTTCTAGTTTTAATTAAATACATACCGGTAACATACACAAATAGGTCTTAAAATTACAAATATGCAAAATAGAAATTGTCATCTTTTTTGCATTGATTCAGTTCTTCACGCTGCTGTCTCCAACGTTTCACCGTTGATGGATGCCAAGCTGACGTGCAGCAGCTCTGTTTCCTTCTATGACAGCCAGATCGATCACCTTTAACTTGAAAGCTAATGTTAGACATTAGCTTGACTTCCTCAATTTCACCTGGTTCTCCAAATTAATGTCTGCTATGAAGTGCTCCATGAAACCATATATCAAGAGAACCTGAGCTAAAATTTTAAGAGTGATCATAGCTCTTTGAAAAAAAATTAATGGAAGAGGAAAAAGAATTGTAAGCTCAGTCATCCAGGTAGATAACTTAGAAGTAAAAATCTGCATAAAGACATGCTATAAGCGCTCAGTTTTATCTTCAGCCTCACATCCTCTGTCCAACAACAAACCAGCTGTAGTTAGTGATTTAAAAAGCTGGAGATCACAGCAGAAACCCCAAAGATGCCTTCAAATGTGTAAACAAGCCTCCACTTTAAGGCCTGAAGTTGTATAGAAGCACAAATACTTCTCAGCTCTTTAAACACGGCTCAGACCTTCAGTTCCAGAGATAAAATCAAAAATATGTTAATATGGTTTCTTCACTTCAGTTTTATTGATGCTGGGAGCTTCTGATGGCATCTGGGATGTGTGGCTCATGATGAAGACATCCCTGATGACATGAATGGGAAGCATTTTAGTGGCTGAAGTTAAGGTAAATATTTATTTAATATTTATTCGTGCAGATGTATTATGCTGGTCTTTGGGCAGATTATTTGTTTATAACAAAGTATTTCAAATTAATTTCAGACGTTCACTTGTCAAGGACAGCCTGCAGGAACATCATCATCATCAAATCTTTTTTAATTGACACCAGGGACTCATGTTTGTGATGGCAAATGTTTGGTGAATGCAAAAACAAATAAGAATATTTTAATATGAAGCCTGGATGCTCTTTGGCTCTGATGTTGTTTCAGGCTTCTGCAGCTGTTAGTCTGACAAATTAAATCAATTCGTGTCCATTTTTGTCTTTTGATTGTCACAGCTGATTGCATTTCCTTTGTCTTCATGTCATACCTCCCGTGTGGTTGCTAGGAGACACCGGTTCGTTGCTCTGATTGACAGGCTGGTCAATTAGTCTCTTGGTGTCCGTGTCGTTGGAAGGTTTGTGAGATTTCTTATTCTTGATGAGGATTTTGCCCATCAGCTCCTGAGGACTGGGCAGGGGGACACCATGTTCCAGCTGCAAACAAACACGACAGCAGCATTATAACCCCTGGTTGCTTTTTGCACGCAGTCTGAAAGGATTTCTGTTTTTTTTTCTTACAGGGTATTTGTCCAGTGGATCAATTAGGAGTGCGTCTCCAAAAATGGTTCGACAATATTCAGCCATTTTAGCCTGTTGCTTCAAGCTGAAAGATAAACACACAACTAAAGAACAAACTGGAGTGTGTATGCTGAGTGCTGCCGGACTGTACTGCAATTTATGGGATAGTATTTATCTGAATTGTTGAGGTCAAAACCGGCACAATCTAAAAAAAATCTAAAACTGGCACAATTATGGCTTAAAGCTAAAAGTAGCAAAACAATAACTAAAATTAACAAAATGTAACAGAAAGCTAACATTAGCAGAGCTTAAATGAGCAAAGGCAGAGGTAAAACTAACAAGTGGTATGTCGATGTCTCCCGTTGCTGACATTTGAAAAGTAAATGTTTGTAGTTTTTGAGATGAGTGTCTTTCTGGACTGGATTTTGAGGTGGTCACCCATTTTTTGATAGAAACCTTTCTTACTGCAGCTAGATGTAGCCACACACCAAAATGGAAGTCAGTAATTCACTTATATTTTTCAAGTTATCCAGCTCACAACATGCACGGACAGACAGATTGAGGGTATTTCCAATTCCCCCCTCTTTGCTTTATCCTCGTTGCTTTGCGACGGGATAAAACCAAAAGCTAAAATGGTAGCTGAAAGCTTAAAATGCTAAAAATTAGCAAAGCTAACTTTAACAAACCCATAGATAAAAGCTAAGATTTGCTGAACTGTAGCTAAAAGGAGCAAAATGCTAGCTTGTATGGGGTGCCATTTGTAAAGTACAAAGTCAAAAATTAACAGCATTATTTTGGTTTATTTAGCCTTTCATAAGAAAAAAATGTTTTATTTTTCCAAAGTTATTTTCACCATGTTATTCATACATTTATAAATGTCATAGTTCCAAACTAAACATTTAATTTACAAGCTAAATATCTAGTTTACAAACTAAATACTTAACTTGCAAGTTAAATATTTAGTTAGTAAACAAAATATTTAGTTAGCAAATTAAATATCCATCCATCCATCCATCCATTATCTTTACCCGCTTATTCCATTTTGGGTCACGGGGGTCGCTGGTGCCTATGTCCAGCAATCGCAAATTAAATATTTAGTTTGGAAATTAAATGTTTAGTTTGGAAAATAAATATTTAGGTTTGAGCTAATTTGTTAGTTAGCAAATTAAATATTTAGTTTGGAAATTAAATGTTTAGTTTGGAAAATAAATATTTAGGTTTGAGCTAATTTGTTAGTTAGTAAATTAAATATTTAGTTTAGGAATTAAATGTTTAGCTTAAAAATTAAATATTTAGCTTGTAAATTAAATATTTAGTTTGGAACTATGACATTTATAAATGTATGAATAACATGGTGAAAATATGACTTTGAAAAGAAAGTAATTTTTTTCATATGAAAAGCTAAATAAACCAAAATAATGCTGTTAATTTTTGACTGTGTAACTTAACAAACGACACCCCATAAGCTGGAAGCTAAATTTAGCTTAAGGCTAGCTGAAAGTGGTAAAACTGTAGCTATAAACCTAAAGCGGCATAAAAAAGACAATAAAAAGAACAAGTCTGTTGAAGCAACATTTTTGAAAGATTTGAAAAAAATGGTGCATTTCTACAGGGGATTTATCTTACATAAAAGTTAAACATATTTAAAATTATGAAAACATTTTCCACTATTCACTCCTGAGCTAAAGGTTTTGACATGATTAAAATATCACCAAATAGCACTAAATTGACTGTAAAACATGCTGAAGTAGTTTGATTGAAATCCTGACTCAACATTCACACAGATTCAGTGCAGTGATTATAAGATGTGCACATTTTTAAAAAATAATTTTGAAAAGTCCTCACGAGTCTACATGGTTTTCAAATGAAAGTATGACGGGGAAAGGTGAAGTCTTGAAGGCGCACTCTGCAATGGCTTCAATCACCTCCTGGAAACACAAGCAAACATTGTGTTGGGGGCAAAACCCATAAAATGTAGAAGATGCAATATTTAAAATGCAGTTTGAAAAACAAATGATAAAATAATAATTGCAACAGGTTATTAAGCAATATTTGTAATTACCATATCTCATTTAAGTCAATTCATTTTATATCACCCAATTCCAGTTACAACTATCAAAACTCCCTCTATGAATCCAAACCTCAGTGATTATTGTTATTGAGCATGGACTATTTTGGTATTGAACCAGTTTGACATGACTGTCGACAAGGAAAAGGACCGGCATCGGAGGAGGGGGTGTGCCAAAGACACCATCTTAGCACCAACATAGCTGGTTTTTTCTAGACCATCTAAATTTGAACTATTCCTGCAGCTTCTCCCCACAATGACAGATGTGATTTCTTCCATATATTTGATTGTTTTTGGCCTTTCAAATCCTTCATCTGTGTTGAGAGCAGTGTGGGAGATGGAATTTGGACTGCTAGTTTCAGAAAACAATTGAAGGAGGTTTAGAAGGGGGTACACAGATGTTCGGTCTGTGCTGGGCACAGTTTCATCAAGCTGGAGACAAGCATGCAAAAAAAAGTTCAACCCAGTGTCCCCTCTATAGACAGGTCCCAGTAGACTGCTTGGACATTTTGGAATAGTGTTTCCATGAAGAGGTTTTGGTCTAGAGTTATTCTTGTGTTGGTTGATTCGGCTGGGGAGGATAATGCTCCTAATTTTTTACACTGCCTAGTTTGGGGTATACAGTACTTCACTTGATCTCTCCTCTACTAAAAATCACTTTAAAGCTTTCACAACTTAATTAGCCAGGACCAGTGGTGTAGTCTACATTTTTGTAGTGGGTTAGTTTTACGTTGGACAATGGACACCATTGAAGCCACAGAGCGCGAATGTTCAACGTTCAACGTAAAACTAACTTTACAGTGGTCAGTCCGATACTGTGCTTAGACACCAAAGTACACTGGTTAGTACAATGTAATCGTCAGTTTATTTCGATTTTTAACTATATTGAACATTTCCAGATTTCTTTGATGCTTATATTTGACTAAATGAACAATAAACTTTGTACAACAGTTGACTTTGTCTTAAAAACATTATAGAATTTATAAAACAGTATCAACGCAAAACGTGTTCAAGTATTAAGTACAGAATACTTAAATATACAATAATTTGCTGGATAAGCAAATGCAATAAACAAGCGCTGCACACAGATAGTTTAACTGCAGTTTAACATTTCACTGGCCACTTTAAGTGGGTATACTGAAATTCTCAAGCTTTTCTAGTGGGTATACTCTGTATACCTGCATATCACATACTGTAGACTACATCACTGGCCAGGACTACTGCTAATTTGGAAATCTGTAGCTCAAACCATATACACAAGCTGGATTAGAGAAGTCCAAAATTTTCTTTAACTGGAACAAATCACCCCGGTCCAGGGGCCTTTCTGGGTGGAGTTTGCATGTTCTCTCCGTGCATGCGTGGGTTTTCTCCGGGTACTCCGGTTTCTTCCCACAGACCAAAAACATGCATGTTAGGCTGATTGGTGACTCTAAATTGTCCCTAGGTGTGAGTGAGAGAGTGAATGGTTGTTTGTCTCGTTTGTTTCTATGTGGCCCTGTGATGGACTTGCGACCCGTCCAGGGTGTACCCCGCCCCTCGCACAGTGATTGTTGGACATGGGCACCAGCGACCCCCATGACCCAAAATGGAATAAACGGGTAAAGAAAATGGATGGATGGATGGATGGATGGAACAAATCAAGTTTTATTTAGTCGGAAAAGTAATATGGTCCAACTTTGAGCTCAGAGTCAGTAGAGATGGGGTGAATGTTGATCCAGTCATAGAACCACCGGGTACAATCAAGGTGGTTTTTAAAAACACAAAAAATCCTAATTTAATTGAAAGTTTGTTAGTGGTTGAGTTGAATCCCTGAAGAAAAAACCTGGACGTACCTTAAAAGAGATTTCTGATGTCATGGTGAAGCCATGGGTTATGACAGGTTCCTCTTCAGCTGTTCGTCCTTTCCACACATCTAATTCAACACAACGGCACCCTGCCAGCAACACCTGCCTGTACATCTCTACTGAGGAGCTGCCTGCCAGCTGGCCCGCTGCAACACACAAAACCATACAACTGGATAAACCCACAAGAACAGTTTATATTAATATTAGTGCAAACATTTTAAAACTAACAAACAAAATGAACACACTCTTTTTCAGTGGGGGTCAGAAATATTAAAGAAACATAAAATATACTGGTAAGTTAAGAAAACAGAAGACATATCAGTACTCAATTCCAGTATTTAAGGTGGACATATTAAACCTTATGTTCTTTTTCCTTAATATTTATATTTCCAGTGGATAAACCTACAGTACATGATTATTTATGATTTGTTGTCTGTTGTGGCTGCCAACCTAAAAAAATGTTTTCAATAAATTTGGTCGAGTTGTATGCACAGTTAATAATAACATATGTATATGTGCTCCTAATTACTATGTGCTTTCCTGGTGTGTGTAAGAGCCACTAACTGAAAGAACAAATCTCTAAGCAGCACCACAGTTAATTTTCTAACACTCAACAAATGACGTTAGCAGCGACCCCACTCCACCACAATTCTGCACCACAATAAACATTTTAATGTTTTCACATTAAAACGTTTCACACATTAGACATTTCACACATGTCTGCACCTGACCTGTTTAGAACTTAATTGCTGGTATTTTTATATTCTCTAGTTTTTTATATATATATCTTGTGTGATTCTTTGTGTATGCTACTTTGTACTGAAACTCTGGCACAACAATTTCCTGCAGGATCAATAAAGTTCTATCTTATCTTACCACAAAGAACAAAATAATAATGATTTGTATTCTTCATAAAAACAAATTGCTGGGTATGGAGACGTGTGTTTAGAGTGTATCCACGCACCTGTGAGGTATGTATTATGAGATGACTTGATAAAATAGTGAGACAGAGGGAAGCTCATGTCTTCAGACTGATCCAGTTTCTCGGGTGGGATGACTCCGTTCTCATCACTGGACAGATAACTGGAAAAAGCCTGGAGAGATATCACACCTAACCACAACATGCGTACAAAAACACCATATCGCACAACAAAAGTGAGAAACAAATTCTAAATTAAAAAAACAGAAAGTCACAGACAGCACATTTTACTTTGACTTTTAGAGCTGTTCACTTAAATGTGACACAAAGGACATTTGTTCCTTTATGTTTTGCTGTTTCTGTAAATGATCAACAATAGAAGTACCTAATACAGCCCAGTATGTACCTGTGCAGACACAGCTATATTATATAGTGAATTTTACCCTGTACTTACTGGGTATGTACCTGGTGCATACCAGGTACATACCCTGTAAGTTTCAGGTAAGTACCAGGTATTTACCCAGTACCTACCCTTTATTTATTAGGTACATATATATGTTTGAGATACATATCCAATATGTATCCTGTAGATACAAACCAAATATACTCACTTTTTACCCTGTACTTACTGAATATGTATCTGGTGTACACTAAATACTTACCAAGTAAGCACCCTGTAAATATAAGGTAATGACAAGGTATTTACTCAGTACATACCGTACTTTTTATTTGTTATGTGCATACAATATAAGTTTGAGGTACAAATCCAATACGTACCCTGTAGAAACCAGGTACATAACAGGCATGTGTCATACATTTAATTAATACGTAACAGGCATCCATCCATCCATCCGTTATCGTCAAATGTCACTTCTTTCTTTCTGAGTCACAGAGGCTGCTGGTGCCCACGTCTAGCAGTTACTGTGTGAGAGGCAGGGTGTATCTACCCAATATGTATCATATATATGTATCACCAGATATGTATTGGGTACAGGTAAGTACCAGGTCCATACCTGGTATACAGGTACAGTAGTTACGTATTAGACAAGTACCAGACTTACCTGGTACATAACCTGTATTTACAAGTTACCCAGCAATTTACCCTATAAAACCAGTTTAGTACCCTATAACTACCAAATATGTATACATATTAAATACATGCCTTGTAAGTACCAGATACATAGCAAGTACCATATTTTTTTGCTGTATAAGTTGCAGTTTTTTGCATAATTTGCATGCCCTGCGAGTTATATCTGCTCCCTAAACAGGTCTCTCTTGAAAATGAATTCTCGTGGCTCAATGAGACTACCTGTATAAATAAAGGGTGAGTGAAAAAAAAAGAAAAAATATATATTGAAGTGACATGTTTGTTTTTTTCATCCCCATATTCATAAACCAATTTTTGGCTGAGATATGCCCGTTTTCATTCATTCTGACAGAATTTTTTTTAACACTATTTCAACCTCTAGATGGCACTCGAGTAGTAAGACATGCTGTTGTATCATGTAATAGGTAAAAGTGACTATTAATGACACAATCGGCTTGCCATAGACTGCTACCGTCGTCTGCCTGGAGCAACTGTCAAATCAGTTCATTTCGCTGCGCCGACCCGGCAAAATGCAGCTAATTTGACCATTGAAGTGCATTTATTAAGTAAAAGGTCAACTGAGACACACCTTTACTATAAATTCAAGCTAAAAAATAATTGTTTTTTATGTGGTTATCTTGTTAACTTAAAAAAAACAAAGCACAGCGAGTCGTCCCTCTGCGCGTGCCTGCTTCCGCGAATCAAGTTTTGAAATACAGCTGATTTCATCATCAAAGTGCATTTATTAAGCAAAAGGTAGACTGAAACACACCTTTACTACAATTTTAAGCAAACAAATAATTGTTTTTAAGAGTTAAATTCTTGTTAAAGTCCTCCCGTGCACGCCCCCACGGCCGCCATTTGGCATTCAATCGATTTTTGGCACAACACCGGCCCACATTTCCGGGTTCAGCCCACATTTCCAGGTTGTCAGCAGTAACGCATAACAAATGTAACGTGTCAGCAGTGAGGCATAATAGATGCGACGTATACAGCGAAGTGACTTATTTATGGATTTTTCCACTTTATCATACATATTTGGACTGATGGGACTTATAGGGTGGTACGACGTGTACGGTGGAAAATACGGTATGCACTGTGTAAATTTAAGAATTTTTTTTTTCTTCTTTCAGCTGCTCCCTTCTTCACAGCGAACTAACTTGCATGAAGACTTGACAATTATTTTAATGCTGGATGCCCTCCTGATGTAACCACAGACCACCAAGCTACCACAGCCCTCTGTGTGGAGCAGAAAGCTGGCATGTAGGGTGTCCGGGGGAGCAGATAGTGGGGGTTAAGGGCCTTGCTCAAGGGCCCAGAGTGGGGCAAATGAGGGTGGAGGCAGGTGTGGGTGCTTTCCTACATACATTTTGATGTTGTTGGTCCAGGGAGTTGAACCGTTGACCTTCCAGTCACAGGCCCACCTTCTCTAACCTCTGCATCACCACTCCCCCTTATGTAAATACAAGATAATAGGTCACTTATGAAGTGTATCCTGTACAGCATGTATCTGTTACATTGACATCACATACCTGGTACTTACCGTGTACTTACTGAGTTGGAAGTACGTGTTACGTACTGAGACTTAGCCTGGTACCTGACACAGCCTGGTTTGTAGGTACCAGGTACATACTGGGCCGTATGATGTATTGTTACCATATTAACCCATTTCTCATTTATTTAATAAAACATTACAACAGTCCTTGTTTTTGTGTAATTTTGTTTAAAGTACGATAACTCTTTATATCACGCCTTTGTTTGTTATTAAAGTTTCTACATACAGGGTGTAGCGACACCTAGTGGCACGAACTATAAATTACAACTTCAACTATATTGAAACATCAATGGTTGTGATGTGAGTACCTTGTTTCAGTTGTGCTTGGTCTTGTTGGTATCTTTCCATCAGAGAGTGTGTCTGTGTGGGGCGAAGAGGAGGGTAGAGGATTTCATTGAGCCTCGGGTCTCTCTGCTTGCTGTTGATAAATTCTGTCATCTGATCGATCGATATTGTCCCTCCACCACCTCCTCTGCAGAAGACATGAGGGTCAGTACCAAATTTAAAATGTAAAACAACTCAGCAACAGCAAAAAAGTACCAAAAATTCTAAGTACAGTTTATCTAAAATCTGTCCCCATTATTTCAGGTTACTGTTCACAGTAATTTGTTGTAATGCAACAAGTAAAAGCAGTGGCGGCGGAACATGGGGGGCCAGGGGGCCATTACCCCCCACGGCCCTGCCCGTCAGCTGGTCCCAGACATTGACACAGCCTAAGCCCAATGCTGACCAGCTGTGTCTGACATCTGTGTGTGTGTGTGTGTGTGTGTGTGTGTTGGGGTGGGGGGGGGGGGGGGGGGGTCTGTGTGTGCAATGCTGAGGTAAGGTATGGAACTCCACCA